GTTACAGAGACATTCGAAGCGAAATACGACAGAGCAAGCGAACTAAAAGCATTCGATGAAACCAAGGCTGGTGTTAAAGGACTTGTTGATTCTGGTGTAACTGAGATTCCTCGTATTTTTCATCACCCCTCAGATAATGACTTCGAGGAAATCTACGTTTCATCAGGAGATTCCCAGTTCAGCATTCCGGTCATAGACCTCGGAGGACTAACTACCGAAGATTCGGTTAAGAGAAAAGAAATTGTTGAGAGAATAAGAGAAGCGTCGGAGAACTGGGGGTTCTTCCAAACTGTCAACCATGGAATCCCGGAGAGTGTTCTTGAGGAGATGAAAGACGGGATTCGTCGTTTTCACGAGCAAGAAACCGAGATGAAGAAGGTGTTTTACACACGAGATCCGACGAAGCCGGTGGTTTATAACAGCAACTTTGATCTGTATAGTGCACCTGCAGCCAATTGGAGGGACACTTTTGCTCTTATGTTTCACAATAGTCCTCCAAATCCTCAAGACTTGCCCATAATATTGAGGTATGTGGTTAATATAATATAAAAATCATATACAATAGTTAGTTGTGTTCTGCAACTGAAAACTATTTGGAGATAACTAATCACTGGTTTTTAATATTTAACTAATCATAGTATCACACTTGACTAACAGAATTTTACTTGAGAATTTCTTCCTAGTGGAAGAACTGTTTATTTCTGTACTTGTTAGCAAAACTAGTACAATTAAAACCTGGTATTTAGACCCTAATAACAGATATAGTCTGCCAAAAAGCTTAAACAATTTTCATTCTTTTCCTAGTAAACTAAAAACAAAAGTAATCATGTTTTTGCAGACAATCAGATTCATGGTTATCTGTGATTTATGTTTAAAATACTTGCAGAGACATACTTTTGGAGTACTCAAGGCAAGTGAGGAGAGTGGGGATTTTACTTTTTGAGTTGCTCTCGGAGGCTATAGGGCTGAATCCAAACCACTTAAATGGCATAGACTGCGGTGAGGGGCTTGCGATTTTAGGCCATTACTACCCTGCTTGCCCGCAACCAGAACTAACCTTCGGCACAACCGTGCACGCGGATGCTGACTTCATCACAATACTCCTACAAGATCACATTGGTGGTCTCCAAGTTCTGCATCAGGGGAAGTGGATTGACATAGCCCCTGAGCCCGGGGCTCTAGTGGTTAACATTGGAGATCTTCTGCAGGCAAGTGTTTACCATTTTCTTGTGTTGTTACCTTGTAATTGTCAAGAATTAGACGAACTAATCTTT